TATATAGGTGTGTGTGTGTGTGTGTGTGTGTGTGTGTATGTGTATGTGTATGTGTATATATGGGTGTGTGTGTGTGTGTGTGTCTGTGTCTGTGTGTGTGTGTGTGTGTGTGTGTGTGTGTGTGTGTGTGTCTCTTTAATATGACCGCTCAGAGAGGAGTTCTCATTTCTCTAACCGCCTGCTGCTTCCCCTCCTCTCTCCTCGGCTCCTCCGCTCGCTTCTCCTGTGGGCAGGACTAAGACACGAGGATAGGAGTCGAGGATAGGAGTCGAGGAGGGGAATCTCAGAAATGAGATACGGCCCATGTTACCCCAAGTGAGAATAAATGCACCAATGTTTACTTCCAGGAGAGACTTAACATCTATACACTGGCACAGGGTGCATCATGATGTGTGAGGCTAACACACAATAATGTACCTTGTTGACTTTCATTTATTATGGCTTAAATGAGTAATGCTAAAAAATCATCCAGATGATTTAGAAATGCAAAAATTACCTGATCTTATGTCACATCACAGGAGACAAAACTTTGTATATGAGAAAACGGTTGAACTATTTTCCCTTTATTCCTCTGAGGGCTTCTGTAAAGTAAAATTCTTCTTCCAAAATATGATATGCTCAAATGGAGTTTGTGTGTTCACACCTGCTGCCTGTGGTTGCACTTCCTCTGGTTTCTCCTGTTGGGGTTGGACTGGGGAACTAGCAGGACTGATCACCTCGATGGTTCCTCCGGCGGTGTTGTCGTATCGATTAGATGACACTGCAAGACAAGCATGGGCAAAGAGTTACTACTTGTGTGAAGCCAAGGACACAATATGAAGGTTTGATCATGTTCTACTCTAAGAAAAAGATTACATTAAAGATTGACTGATGATGTGATTGTGTTGCAGTGCACCTATGAGCTGTTTGAATAACATCATGTGTAACACTCACAGCTGCTGGAGGAGTCCGAGCTCTGAGAGCCTCGCTCTCTTGAGTCCTTGTCCGAGGCTATCTGCCGCGTGATGATGACGTCAATGAAGTTAGCTGCTGTGATAGTCGTCTTTCCACGAGTCCGAAGCTCCTCTTCGATGCGAGACTTTGACGTTGGAGGGCCCTTATCCTTAGCTCCGGGCCCCTCAGTGTAAGCTGAATGAGGCTTACCCCCTGGCAGAGACATAGCACCGTATGGTGACTGCATGGAGCGCCTCTCTGCCTCGTGCTGCTGCTGCTGCTGCTGCTGCTGCTGATGTTGTTGATGTTGATGCTGCTGCTGCTGCTGCTGCTGTTGTTGTTGATGCTGCTGCTGCTGCTGCTGTTGATGCTGTTGATGCTGCTGCTGCTGCTGCTGCTGTTGTTGTTGATGCTGCTGTTGTTGTTGATGCTGCTGTTGTTGTTGATGCTGCTGCTGCTGCTGCTGAAGCTGCTGCTGCAGATGATGCTGCTGTTGCTGCTGCTGCAGATGCTGCTGCTGCTGCTGCTGTTGCTGTTGCTGTTGCTGTTGCTGTTCGGACATGCTGGCTGCTCGCCTCGACATTTCGTCTTCCCGTTCTTGTTTGTTCTCCTTCACCTTGGCGACGTCCATCTGAGGGGCGGAGGCTGCAGCGTCCACCAGGGCAGCCAGAGCGTCAGCTGCAGTGCTGTAGCGAGAGCTGCTCTGTGATGCTGCTGTTGCTGCTGCTGTTTGAGGCCTGAAGAGGAAAAAAGAGATAAAGGCATCAACTATATTTCATTGTATTAGTATACAGCCTGAAATACAGAAAATATTCAAATCTTTGTGTTTTTACCTTTGTATAACAACTTATACTGAAATTGTATTTTATAGCAGTTTAAGAAGTAGACATTTTGTCCAAAGAAGGCTACAAGAGGACGTTTTTAATGAAATCGGAATCTACAATTTGTTTTAAAAGCATTTAAATGAATTGTGAAACATACAGAAAATAATAACTTGTTTGTTTTTTTATTTAACAAACTATTACATTATCAAAACAACATTTGTAACAGTTTTAATATTGTAAAATAATGAAAATGCGTTTGTTATGACTGGAATATGATATAAACAAATGTCTTAAAGGACATGTTTGTCCCGTAACGACATAAGAAATGCTTTTAAAAAGGATGCACAATGTGTTTTCATGAGGAAACAGGAGAAGAAGTATAAGTGAGCCAACTTAGATCTAGGGGGAAAAGGTAGAGACTTACATCAGAGCGGTGATGACACTCTTGACCTGGAAGATGCTGGGCCGCTGCTGAACCACCACCTCCTGCGTCCTGAGCGAGGGGGAGGGGGAGTGCAGATAACCTCGACTCCCTGGCCGGCCGGGCTGCTCTGCTCCACCTGAAACACACAAAAACATGGGACATTGCAAAAGTGGGTTTCAATATAAAGTGACAAAAAGCAATCGCTGTCTAACAATTATTATATGCAACACAGTTTTTCATTTAGCAAAGTATATCAGATAAACTAGTATGTTTAGTGTTCAGGGAATGTCACTTTTAATTAGGGTTATTTTGTCTGTGCAAACCAAAGTTGTAGATGAAGTCTTAAATATAATTTTTTCCTATTTTTGTTCTATCCAATTTTAGTTTGACCCTCTTTCATATTGTCTACTTTGATATAGACAACCAACTACCCTACTACATAAAAGAAGAGACTTCGAAAAATGTGTGGGTGGACAAAAGAGAGGACATTTATCAGGAACTTTTTTTTGTTAGTGGTTAACTAATGACTTATAATAGAAGTATTTTTATAAATTGGTAAAGTTTTTCTCCAGAGAGTGGATGAAAACTTTTTTTTATATTATAAAGGGATATAAAGATGATGATCTTGAATTGAGGCTTTCCCAACTTTTAAAAAGCTCACCTCCGCGCATGTATTCGTTGGTTCTCTCCCGTTCCCGTATTTCCCGTTCCCGTATTTCCCGGTCCCTCTCCCTCTCCCGCTGCTCCCTCTCCCTTTCCTTCTCTCGCTCTTTCTCCTGCTGCTCCCGGTCACGCTCCCTCTCCCGCTCCCTCTCCGCACTGGCAGCAACCGCGGCAGCAAGGTGGGCTTGGTGGCCTGAGGACAAAGACAGACACAACAAACACACAGGATTTATCCACACACACTACTCACAAGGTCTCAGCCGGATGGACCAGGATTCCTTTAGATATCTGAACCAAAGGTGTTCCAACAAATCAAAACCCTGGTCAAATTCAATCTCAGGAATATTCTTATATTTACCATTTTAGTTAAAACCTTGAGTTCAAAAGACCATCCAGGGTTCATTACAGCTTTTCGTTGCATTTACTATGTATGATATACTTCAAACATCTGAACTGTAATTAAAAACTGTTTAAAGGCATTGTAATAATCTGTACAATACAATCGCAAATCTATTCGAACCTATAGCTTGTGTGCCCTTAATAATGATCTATGTAGGAGCATCATTTCTAAAGATTAAAAAGAAAAACACACCGTGTAACAGACCAACAGATTTTTGAGAAATCCCGCCCAGTGAGATAGCAGTAAGACTTGATCTGTCACTGGATAGGCAGAACAAACCTTTGCCAACTCTGTTCAGTGCACTCACACTCGCAGAGGCGTGAGGGAACATGGAGGTCGTGGCGGGGAAGGATAAGGAAACACGTGTAGGGATGGGGAAGGGGGGGGTCCTCACCTGGCGATATGGAGGTTGGGTTGAAAGCTCTAGAAGGGAAAGGGGGCTGAGCTCCGGGGAGGTAGGCGATGCGTTCCAAAGTGGGATTACCTGTTCCCCCAGGGTGAGGTAACAGGATAGTTGGAGGCATCTGGGCTAGATCAATTATCCCTTTTACAGACAGAAGCAAAGGGCCAACGGTGAACAACAAGAACCGATTAATTAATTTTTGAACGTATGAACACCGTATACATTTAGCTTTAACCCGTCACCATCATGTGTTAGTGCTCACAAATACAGATTGATCAGTAAGCAAAAGGGCTGCAAAGGGGAGTGGAATAGTGGTGAACTTGTAAGAGGCAACCACTCAGCAAATGGAAATTTAGACTGTACCCGATCATGAATTGAGTAGTAGCCGAATCAGTTGCAGCCCCAAAATTAAGAGCAAAATCAGCTAAATTTGACCAGGTCATTTGCTTCTGGGCGTCTGGAAAAGGTAGCCACTACTTCACAGGCACACAGTCTGCATACTACACCCCCCAGGTAAGAGAGGGTCAGCTGGTGGAGGTCCGTACCTCCGGGTCCGGCTACGTAAGGGAGCTGTTCCCGCGGTGACAACCCTCGGGCCATGTCAGGTCGGATGACTTGCATCTGCTGGGAAGTGATATAATCATTGAGGATCGTCTGCCGTGTGTTCTCCATGGTGTACAGCTGGTACGTGTTGTGGTAGCCGGTTGGAGACGGCTGCCTGGGGAACATGAATGCTGTAGCAGACGATGAAAAAAAAAAAGACAAAAAAAAATATGAACAGAAGGCCTCACAGATACTGATCGTGACTGCTGATGCCAATAGCTGAAAACAAACCCTGACCATGTAGTGCCTATGAATTAGAGTCTGGGTTGTTCAACCCAGAATCCAAACTGTTATATTTTTGTTTAAAAGGTTTTGAAATACTGTACCAGGATCGAGCACTCTGTGGAAGGCCATGGTGGGGTCCAAGTGTGGAGGCAGGTGTGCTCGGTACATTTCTCCAGGAACAATGTGTCGGTGCTGGGGGTCGAAGGGGCTGTGAGAGCCCACAGGGTCACCGCCCGTCACTGGAGACTTGGAAGGGATATTTTCCCTCTGTGTCGGGGTCATGGCATTCTTTCTTTCATGTGCAGCAGATTTCGCAGAGCTCATAACACCTTTGTGGGAAAGAGAGGAACACACACGGCTCTTCTCGTAAGTAAAAGATTGGTTGCACGACAACTTAGTGAATACAGTATAGGGAGGTCATTTAGAGGGCCAACCTTGGAGTTGGCATTGCTCTGGTTCCCTCGTAAAAGGTCATTTCCATTGGATAACACATTTTTGTGGAAAATACATTTAGTTTTAAAGTAAACATTTTGTATTCTTACACATTTTGTTGGATAAACTTCTCAAATTAATTGGGATTTTTTAAGCATACTTTTAATATCAATACCCTCAGCACTGTGTGCATATTAGTTTGTACTCCTAATATTGTTATTTTATAAAAATTATGACCTAGTTATGCAAGATAAATGTCTAATTCAACTTGATCCAACTACATAATATATAATTTTGGACATGTAATGATTGGCTGGGAACCAGAAGTTCAATAGTTTGTGATTAAAATAGTTATGAAACCTACCCTCGGGTGTACGTCCCATCATGGGTGATCCTCTGGACCCAGGGTTGGTGCTGTAGTTGACGGGGGTCCTGCGAGCGTTGGCGTCCTCGTACATGCTTGGGCTGAGCTGAGACTTGTTAGCCTCCTGGTGGGTGGATCGCAGGACAGAGGTGGAGTTGAGCACAGATTGGCGGACCACCTTGCCCTCCTCGTATTTGGCTCTTTCCATGGCATCGAGCTGGGGCATGTTGTGGGGAAGCTTATTGGGACTGGTGATCAGGGACTTGACGTTGTGCTTGATGGTCGACTGGTTGTGAGGGTGAATCTGGTAAATGACAACAACAACAAGTTAGTCATTAATTTATAACTAATAGGACTTTGTATGTTTGTCGAATAAGCATATTCAAAATCATAAAGGTAAAATAAAGCCCAATAAAAAAAGCCTAATGTTCACTGAACAGATCTAAAGAATGTAGGGCTGCACAATTAATAAAATATTTATCTCAATCCCAATTTTGGTTTCTAATATTGAAATAAACATGATCAAATTCCTGACTTTTAAATGTGTGCTTCATTCATAGAAAACGCAGCTGAAAATCTATTTAAGTGCTTCCTAAACTAAAAAGCCAGCCACCAGGGGGCGATAGAGATGCTTTGTCTTACATTTCTAGGGAGCAGCTATTCTGTGCTAGGCTTTCTAGCGGTGTTCTGGCATATGCCTGAATGCTTTTATTAAGTACGCTGTCACGTAGGCTATCAGTGCCCATGAATTAATTAAAAAAAACAGATTTTTAAAGTGTGTTATTAATGCTACACGAACACTGAAAACAAAACAAGAGTAAGTCTCTATCGTATTATCATGGAACGAGAGTTTACCGAGAGGACTTTGTCATAGGGTTTATTTCCAGAAGTATTTCATATTTAAACCCCATGTTTTTTATGGAACCCGATAAAGTTATTGAGGGAATCGAAATAATTATGATTATTGTGCAGCCCTGAAAGAATAGCAAGAATAAATGTTGTCCACAAAGAAAATGGTCTTACCTGGGACATGGAGCCCTCCATACCCCTCCTGTCTGACATTTCGGGGGTCTTGCAGACATCCTGGCCGGACTGCTCTTGTCTGGGGATTTCGTGAATGGAGCGTCCCAACTCTTTGATGGTGTTGACTCCCTCATAGGGCTTGCCCTTGCCAATTCCCCCTTCGAAGGAGCGGATGGGAGGGCTCTCACGCTTTATCTGCTTTCCATATTTCATGGCATCTTCATAAGTCTCTGCAGCCGTTCTAGGTGTTCCTGGAAAGATTTGAGAAGTATTTTAGCCTTATCCTAATTTACGATGCTACTGAATAAAACATTATATGAATGTTGAATGCTTTACAATTAGCTTACCTTGCATGATGGATCCAGTCATCATTGGTCTTTCCTTAGAATCTCCATGTTGACCTTCTCTTGGCAAGGCTCTGCTAATCAACCCTGAAACAAACGAGCAAAGTCAGTATCCCAATACAAGACAAGAAAAACAGTAAAAAAGGTTTTACTCATTAACACTCAAAATGTACCCTCGAATGGAGCTCCTTCCCTGCAAGGGTGTCCCCTGCCCAAGGGTCCCTCCATCATGTCGTAAGTGCGTTTCAGCTCAAGGGCTGTCCTGGGACTGCGGGTGTTTTCCCTTGGGTTCTTGATAGCTTTTGGGCACAAAAATACATGTTGTAGTTTATGTGCAAAGTAAAGGAATACTCAACAATTATTTGATGTATCAATAATAAAAGATAGGAAAGCATTGAAAGGCAAGTGAGAAAAACAGATTCTGGTGATCCATTGGTAGGTGAAGTGTTGGTTGTTGTCAAGTTGCTTTTTATCATTCTCTACTCTAAACAGAAAGAAATGAAAATATTTTACAAAAATAAATCTGTGCTGAAATCATAAACACAGGAGAAAAGACTATTTGGACCAGAGATGGTAAATACATCACCACCACATATTCTTTCTCACTGGAACTCTCAAGGCTTCCATACTAAGCAATTACCATCATAGGAGAGGATGTGACCACTCTTCCCTTCATAGATGACATGACCTTTAGACAGCTGGTCTCCCCTGGCCTTGTCTGGGTTGCTCATGTCCTCTGTGGCCAACTTTGTGATGGTGCCCTTCAGGAGGTCAGCAGCCATGATGGGCTGGGAAAGGGCTGGCGTGCCCTATTGTGTAGAAAAGAGGGAAATTGTTATGAAAAATAAAAAGCAAACACACATCAAATATATGGGAAAATCTAACAATTATCTGACCACTTCAACCATTTATTACCTGAGTTATGGACCCTCTCTTAGCCAGACCCTCGCCCATCTTTGCTGGGTTGCCCCTTCCGTCCTGCATGGATGGAACTGCAGCTCCTGGAGGATTACAAAGCAGAAGAAAAAAGAGAATTAAGTCATTAATGGTTAGTGAATATCATAGGAATAATTGTTTCAAGATTTGAATTAAAAAACATTACTTATAAAAAAAAGTACTGAAATCAATACAGTTATCATACAAAAATGCTTGCTTTACCAAGATGTTGTGATGAGGAGAAAAAAAAACGTTACGACCATAAACATATATTAGTCTCTTAGGTGTTATTTAACTAAGTTAGGTTGAGAATTACGGCTCGTCCACACAGCGGCGTGCGTTGAAGCTTGCCGGCAGGGGGGGGGGGCTGAAACTCGACCAACAACCAATCACATGAATCTCCCGCCCCGGACACACAAGCACGCGGTTTGTTGGCTAGAGCTTGTACTGGCATATGATTCGATTGGCTGACGCTTCCGCCGAAGCTTCAAAAGTTGAACATTGCTCAACTTTTGCAGCGAGCAACGCTTTTGAAGCTACGCTTCGCTCCCACAATGCAGTTCGGTGAATGGGCAGAAGCGTTGAAGCTTCAACGCACGCCGCTGTGTGGACGGGCCGTTAATGTCTAAAGCTGCATATGAGCATACTCTTAGTAATGTGCAGTTTGTGTAGTCCTACCAGGTTTGTTAGGATCCTGCTGCCGAGGCAGACCTAAAGAGATGGAGCCCACTGCGCTCTTAGTCCCCTCCGGACCGTAGACAGCATGGGACGGCAGGTATGTGCCGGGAGTTCCCTGGAAAAGCAGGAACAGAGAACACATTTTAAAGACAAGTCAGGTGTCCAACCCATATGTCTTAATTCTAAGAGACAGCTCACATGATGTTGCTGAATAAAAGGTGCATTGTGGAGTTCTAATAAATGGGTTTAATTTCATAAAACCTTTGCAAAACCGAAAATAAAAAGAAGTATTTTTAGCATTGTTTATATTCATCATAACATGCTGGCTATGTCCTTCTTCCTTATCTCTACTTGCGTATTACAACATATCTTATCGTGTTACAGCCACCTGTAGAACATGGGAATAGTGTAAAACCGTTGGCTGGAATGTGTACTGCATCCCTCCGATACACATGTGCGTCACCCGCTCAGCGAAAGTTAAAAACTCACCAAGGAACCTTTCGCAGTTGGCCCTCAGTGTGATGTGAATGTCAGTGGTGTGGAATACTAAGAGTAGGGTTACTCCACTTGCTCCAACAGGCAATCAATCCTCTTTAATGTCTTACCTGGGATATGGAGCCTCCTTGGATGAAGGAGGGCTTGTCGGTGGGCTTGGTGGTTGGAATGAGTGGAGGAGGAGAGGGAATATTCGGAGGTCGACTGGGTCTGCTGAACGTCACGCGGACTCCGTCTGCTATGCTCTGGACCAGCTGGTTGGGGGCCGGGTGGAGGACTGAGGGGACAAAAGTAATCAGAGACGACTGGTCAACATCTGAGCATTAGAATAAGCAGTATAAAAAACGTCTTACATACAAAATGAATCACAAAAACAACTGCAACCTAGATTGGTCCTCTAAATGTTCCTGTCTGCCAAACACCACAACATCAACACACCCAACATCAGGGTTCCATTAAGCACCATCTCCCTTTCAAAGAGTGCCTGATGAAATATTCAGCTTAATTCTGACAGTCTCCAGTGAGTGTTGACGTAAGCATTGAACACCCCAGTTAATAGACTATCCTCAACTTGATGTAACCTTGGCCCATGGCTGCTGTACCGTCTCCTGGGAAAGCCGAGGAGACAAAATGGTTCGAAGCATAAAAACAAACAAACACAAGACCGAGAGTAACCTCGATGCAGGGAGCGCGCCTCATGCTCTGCACTTTAAAAAATAAGAAATGGCTGTGTGAAAGCATCTCCAACAGAGCATGGACGTCATCTTCCTGCTGACTCATGCAGGGACATACGAGAAAACAAATTTATAAATCCTTTTCGCAGGGAGACTTTGTGTCTAACATTAACATTCATGCTTCAATTTACCATTCACCAAAGTTGTCAGGGCAACCGGAATATGTAGAGCACATGCTAGTTCTTGCTTTAAAAGGAGAAAAAAACATATTCCAATGAGGATTGATTTACAAAACTCTAGTAAACACATGGTGGTACTTTTAATTTGTAGCAGTCACATGTGAATGTACGAATGAAAACACATTGGGTTCATGACAGAGGTTGTGGGAATACATAAGTTATGGATTTAACCAATGCTAGCCAAAATGGTACTTCCTCTGGTCTTATTAGTGTTGGAAATGTGAATGACACCAGGGTTTAAAAGTTAATGAATGTTTCCAGACAGATAAGGTAACGAGATGTTAAACTGCACAAAAGAAGAAAGAAAGAAAACTGATGATGATGGCAACTTTTGACTGGCAGTGATTCACCCACCATCTTGGCCTCTTTTTGCGACAAGAATGTAGGACAGAGGCCAAGATTAGGGGGGAAAGAAGTGTGCTTGTGTTTCCTCTCCACTGGTGGACAGACCAAAAATATCTGACTCATGCACTGACGTTTTCGCTGCAGTTATAAAATCCCCAAACTTCTGTCTGGCCTGTGATTATACCAGAAAGAGCTGGCTCATGCTTGTTGGATTGCTACTGTATGGTACACGTGTACAAGCATTCTTCAGAGGTTGTGCTGAGAAACAGGCTATGCGTGGCCTCAAAAGCATGTAGCCATGATGCTACCTAGAAAATGCATTATTCATCAACAAACCAAAAATCCCAACAAACCCCGACTTATGAGGGGATTCAAATCACAGTCCTCCTCTGCCACAACTTCAAATGCCGACAATCAACAAATTATAATGACAGGCATGTTCATCTAAACCAGGGGTGGGCAACCTTTTTGATATGAAATGCCATTTTAAAAAAAAATCTGATTAGTGTGCCGACGTTCATGAACTGTCAACGGGGGGGGTGGGGGAGCCTCGCTGCGGGGAAGCTGTGGACCTCTGTCGCCTGTCAGTGCAACTTACATTATGCCGTTTGAACACATTTAAATAGATAAAGACCGAACCCTTTCGTCAACGGCCCGCTGGCGACCGGCTCGGTTCACTGACGACCGGACGCACTGTGATTCTCCAGAACACACAGTTGGCCAGTCTGCCCCTGTGTAGCATATTATTTTCGATGACAGATGAGCAGATCGCCACTGGGCTTTCAACTAGAGAAACAGCCACGCAAAACAGCCCCTTATGGGTACTGCAATGTGTGAAGTGCGCTACACCCCTGGTAGTTTCACCATGAAGGAAAGCAGCAGAAAGTCGACTGGAGTTAAAGAGAGCGGGGCCTATAAGTTATCCTTCTGTGCTGCGTTGCGTGCATGGCTTCTTTCTGCAGGGGGAGACGCGCTCTGCCTGCGGTCTCGTTCAGGATCCGTAAATACAATTTAAATATTTGTGCACACTTATTCCTAGTGTGCCACTGGTTATGGTCCCGCGTGCCAATGGTGGCACGCGTGCCTAGGGTTGCCGACCCCTGATCTAAACTATGGATGTCAATACATCGCAAATTAAAATATAAAATTGTAGTCAAGTATGTGCCTCCAAGGCTAGTTGGTATCAACAAGGGAAGGGAGAGGGCAAGAAGGCAGGGAAGGAGGTGTGCTTTTTACCTGGTGGCACACTGTAGCGGGAGGCATTGGGGGCGTTGGGGTCAGGCTGGGGTGAGGCTCTGCTCATCTCCCTGGGGGAGAGTCTGTAGGGAGAGCCTGGCCGACCAGAGTGCATCTCCTGTTCCAGAGCCAGCTTCATTTCATAAGGCATGTAGGGTAAGGGCTTACCTACAGTTCACAGGCATAAGGACAGAGGGAAGACAGCCACTATTAAAACAAGAAACTCCCTGCCGGTGAGCATAGAGCTGACCCTGCACAAATAACACGACCACACACACACACACACACACACACACACACACACACACACACACACACACACACACACACACACACACACACACACACACACACACACACACACACACACACACACACACACACACACACACACACACACACAGCGATAATCGATAAATTGACTTATCGTACGATAAATAAAAATGGACTCGATAACTTTTCTGAGCTCGATAAATTGCCGTTTACATAAAGATGTGACCAGCATTTGAGCCTGGAGCGCTGTGGCTGCCTGGCGCGCTGTGAGGGGCGGGGCTGACACACAGCCAGGTCAGGACACTCCGCGTGCAACAGCGTAGCAGCCAAATTAATAATATAGCGACAAGCGGGAGACAACGTGTGACTTACTCGCGGGGAATTTAAAGTGAAATGGAATTGGTTACAAAACCTAACTACACATCTCGATTCTCCGGTGTGGAAGTATTTTGGATTCAAACCAAATCAACGAGGCGAACCTACGGACTTGAATGAGCCGTGCGGTGTGTCGCATTGGTTTTAAACAGGTAGCGACAAAAGCAGGCAATACCACGCATTTTAAACCACCTAAAACACAACCACCCCATTCCGTTTTCCCAGCTGGGAGCAAACACGGCAGCTGGAGATGGAGAGCCCCCGCCCGACAATGCAAACATGTTGGTGTTCCTTGCTCGAAAACTTAGAAAAACAGATTTGGATATGGCCTGTTGAGGCATCTGGGTCTTTGACAGTGGACTGTACACTTGATTGTTGTTTTAAGTAGGTTTTTTTTGCTTGTGAGATTATGTGTGCTCATATTTATTTATTTATTATATATATATATGAGAGAGAGAGAGAGAGAGAGCTCTGTTTTCCAGCCTGACTATTTAATTTATTGTTTTGGTTGTGTGTGATTTAATTAATTTTAGGGCCGGGACGCGATTAAAAAAATTAATCTAATTAATTACAGGC